GTACACAATACACTGCACAACACACGGCTCTGCCATTTCTTCTTTATTCTGTATTCTGCTTTATCCGATAGTCATACTGACCTCTATTTTGCAGTTGTGGGTTTATGCCTACTTCCCTAGGCTTGCACCTGTGCCAGTTGCGGAGCCTCCTCCGGCTGTCCCGTTCTCGAGTCGCTTCGATGGGAGATGCACCCGGCGACCACGGGAGACGTTCGGCTTCTTCCGCCGATATTTCGACACCATCACCCTCGCGGAGGTATGCTTTACTTACAGTTCATTTAAGCTTCGCTTTCCAACTGTATATTTCAATAACAGTAGATAACAAACTGTCTGTTACTTTCAGATCACATGGCGGCCATGGGCCTCCTTGCCGTTGGCGATGCGGGGTCGGTTCCCTGGTGCTGAGGAGACCTCGCGTTTCCGGATTCTGCTAGAGGGCCTGGTCTGTCGGGCTTGGTACCTGGGGGAGCATTTTCTACGCCAGACCCTGGGGTTACGTGAGCAGATAGTCCCGGGTCACCCTCCTGCAGAGATGAGGGAGACTGAGGGGCTTACCGCTGAGCAGCTGGATGATTACTCCATCGGCTGGGAGGAGGCCGGCTTCCGAGGCACTGGAGACTACCAGGAGTACGTGCGGACGTACCTGATGCGCCCCTTGAGCGGTCGGCGAGCAGAGGGGGCCAGGCCTGTAGCATCGGCGACTGGGGCCGGAACGGGAGCAGGGGCTGGATCTTCAAGGAGGGCCCGGGTCCGTGGTAGGGGCGGAGCGCGGGGAGGACGAGGAGCTGGCTGGCCTGCCCTGCCCGCTGTACTGACTTTCCAGGGGCAGGGTGGGTCGACCTATCAGATCCCCTTCGCCCCTCCACCGGCTGGTCACGAGTTCATCGATGTCCCCGACTTGCCGCCGGTATGTATCACTGCACTTCGTACAGTTATTTCATCTCAGTTTACTTGATATTCCACAGAATACTAATGCATCTGATACCTTTGCAGGCTTCTTCTGAGTACACCCGTCAGTCGTTGGCGATGAATGCCTCGATGATGGGGATGCTCCAGCGGACATTTGACCTTCTAGCCGTTTACAGCATACCGGTATGTCCTTCTGATACTGGCCTGAAACCATTCATACACTGCTTTGCATAATCTAATGCACGGCACAACACGTGATACACTGATCTCACAGCATCTGGCCCACTGCATACACCGCATTCTGCACCAAACTCTACACTGACAAACTGCTCACGGCATTCTTACCCTGTACTCACATTCTGCATTTTGCACTGTTAAACTGCTCACTGTATTCACACACTGCATTCTGCACTGATAAACTGCTCACGGCATACTGATGCATTTCCCTTTTTGTGTACTTTT